CTGTAGCCTAGGCTGGCCTATAACTCACTATGTAGTTGCTGTTGATCTCAGATCTGCAGTCCTCCTAACTTATTCCTCTCTAGTACTAAGATTAGAGGCAACACCTAAAATCCTAGCACTTGGGGAGTGGAGGCAGGAGCATTAGAAGTTCAAAATCATTGTTGGCTGTGTATCAAGTTTGAAGCCAACCTAGGACATGTCTACAACAACAAAAAACAGGAAAAAAAAAAATTCTTCCTTGATCCAAGGAAGTTCAAGAATTAGTTAACATTCACATATTTGCATACTTATTTTTTGTTATTGATTTCTAGTTTTATTACAGAGTATATTTAGAAAATAAACTCACTATGATTTCAGGTTTTTTGTTTGTTTGTTTTGCCACTTGTTGAGGCTATTTGTGGCCTATGAATGTCTGTCCTGGAGAGTGTTCCAGGTGCTGTTGGAGGAAGGCACCATGCAGTTGTTGAATGGGATGTTCCATAGATGTCTGTGCGGCCCATTGGGCTATGGTGCCATCAAACTCTGTTCTTCCCTTACTGATTTTACATCTGGGGGACCTGTCCATTCCAGAAAATGCTTTACCAAAGTCATCATTGGTTACTGTGTTGGCCACACACTCTCTCACATGAATATATGTGCACATGCACTAATTAATTAATTTTTGAGACAGGGTCTCATTGTGTAGACCAGACTGGTCTCTGATTTACAGAGCTCCATCTGCCTCTGCTTCCCAAGTGCTGGGATTAAAGGCCTGTACCACCATGCCCATTTTAAATGTTTAACTTTAAAAAGTTTTCTGCATGAAGTCTTAGGTTCAGTCTCCAGTTCCATAAAAGAAAATTAATTAATTAGCACTCAATGTGAGGGTTTCCACAAGGAATCCTCTGTCAGTTTCTGTGGGCCTCTTTTGACCATTGGCGAATCACAATTCCTGACTCTTTCTTTCCCTCCTCTGCCCCCAGCCTCTTGAGTCTGCTAAGAAAACAGTGTAACTGTTGCATCACCAGCCAAGTTCTTCGTTGTTGTTGTTTTTCCCTAAAAGTTCTCTTCAACAACTGTTACTTATTATTTGGTGTGTGTGTGTGTGGGGGGGTGTTCACGTGTCATGACCCAGTGTGAAGGCCAGAGGAAAACTTAAATTGGATTCTCTCCTCCCTCTTTATTTTAGTTCCAGCAATGGACTCAAGTATCCATAGTGACAGGCTTCTGCTAGCAAGACCACACCTGCTTCAACAAATCTATACTTCTTAAAAGTACCACTCCTTTTGGGGGGCATTTTCTTTCATATTCTACTCCCTGACCCCCAAAGACTTACAGCCATATAATAATGCAGAATGCATTTAATCCAACTTCAAAAGCCCTCTTGTCTATCACAGTCTCATCAGTGTTCAGAAGTCTAAAGTTCAAAGTCTCTTTTGAGATTTATACACTTTCTTAACTGTAATCCCTTATAAAATTAAAATAGAAAAGCAGATTACATACTTCCAGCGTAGAATGCCACAGGATATACATTACCATTCCAAAATGTAGGGAAGTGAGCACAGTGAGGAAATACTGAACCAATGCAAGACTGAAAATGAGCTGGGCGAACGCCAGACTCTGCATCTCCATGATGCTCTTCAAATTTCCAATTCCTTTTAGCTTTGTTGACTGCAACATACTTTTTTCTCTTGGGCTGGCTCCACTTTCTGTTAGCAGCTCTCCTCAGCAAGTATCTTGGGGTCCTCAAGGCAATCCAGGCTTCAATTTCACAGCTTCATGCAAGGATCTCTCTAGGCCTCTATTTAGGGACATCTCTGATACATGCCTGGTCTCCATGGGTTTATTCTATAACTCCTTTTTTTCTATCCTTATATCTAAACCCAGAACCACGTGGCCAGAGCTGCCAAGTTCAGTTGCTTGCTGGGGCTGGAACGTGGTCTCCATGTTCAGTTACATCTTCGTCAGCTTTCTGCTTTTGATTGTTACCCCCATTGCCTAAGCTTGGCTGTCCTGGAACTCCCTCTGTAGACCAGGCTGGCCTCAAACCCCCAGATCCTCCAGCCTCTGCCTTCCCAGTGCTGGGCTTAAAGGGGTGCATCCACTTTCCTTCTGCCTCTTCTGTGCTGAGATTAAGTGCATCACATCTAAGAGTACCTCTCTTCTTTGTGGCTCTTTTCTCCGTCTCATTAGCTTTCAGCTGCCTGCCTGCCTGCCTCCTTTCCTCCCTCCTCCCTCCCTCCCCCTCCCCTCTCCCTCCCTCCCTCCTTCCCTCCCATCCTTCTTTCTTTCCTTCTTTGCTTCCACTACATATGCATTTCAAAAAGTTAAATGTGTAACTTACACAAACATGGTGAACATGAAAGTTTTTTTTCACTTACTATTGAAGGAGATGTTGAGATAAGTGTGTGTCTAAGAGCATTTGAAGGAATGCAGATTTAGAGGCATTAAAAAAATGTCAGCATTAGAGCAGTGTCACCTGGTTAGACACAAAACTGATTAATGTGCTACAAGGCAGCAAGTGCCTAACCTTTGGGGCTATTTGTTCAGCTCCACAGGAATATGCAAGTTAACATATAACTTCACAGTGTATCTATAACTTCTAAAATTACCATGTATAGGTGACCCCAGACATAGTTACTAATTAAACAGCCCTTTTATTTCCCGGAAAGGCATTTGTTTCCACACTAGCAGAGGCCTTTGAGAACTTTTACTCTGGGATGCCAGAATGACAAGGGCCAGGCTTTGCCCTGCCTTGGGGTAGACCTGTCTGAGGACACCTATGCTGTCGCTCCTCTGGCTCAGTGTGGCAGTGGGACGGAATGACCAGTTTCTTCAGCAGTCATGTTTTCCTCTGTTCCTGTGGTCACCAGTGTCTCAGCTCCCTGAAGACACCGTCTTCTCTCCGCTCCCACTGAATTCTCTAGCAGAGCCGTGGGTAGGAGGAGTTTAAGTTCTCCGTCCTTATGGATTCAATTTAGTTAATACTTAACACGCAATTACTAATGCAGAGCCCTTCAGTTAGACTCTGTGGGGCCTGGAGAAAAGAATACTAATTCCTGCGGATCCCAGAGTTCAGCGGGGAGACAGAAGCATGTAAAGCCATCCACAGTTGTGTTTCTTAACTGTGACTGAACACTAGGGTCACTTGGGGCACTGAAACACCCTGATGCTTTCTGCGTTCCAGAGTCATTAAGTCAGGACCCCAGGGCTGGGGGATGGGACCCAGAAATCAGCATGTTTGAGAGGTTTCTGGGAAACTCTAGAGTATTGCTAAGCCAGAGTAAAACAAACTGGGAACACTTAGTGAAGGATTAAGTGCTGAATCAGCTGGGCACCACAGCCATTCTAGACAGGTGAGGAAGGCACAGCCTTTCATTGATAGCATGGGAAGTCTTGGGTCAGTTTGATTGCAAAGCTCCTACCAAACACACACTTTTGGGGGCCGGAGAGATGGCTCAGTCGGTAAAGTACTTGCCATGGAAGCACAAGGGCCTGATTTGATCTCCCAGAACCCAGTTGAAGGGCTGGGTACTGCGGGTGATCCTGTTGTCCCTGGTGCAGAGAGGAGACAGGAGATCTCAGGAGGGGCTAGCTAGCTGGTCTGAGAGCTGTGTCAGAAACTGCAGTGGGGGCCTCAAGAGGTGGCTCCGTGCTTGAGAGCGCCTGTGCTCATGCAGATACCCCAGCCTTGGTTCCCAGCACACATATCATGGTTTATAACTGCCTGTAACTCCAGTTCCGGGCAACCTGACGCCCTCTTCTGACTGCTGAAGACACTAGGCATGCACACAGTGCACATACATACAAGTAGAAAAACGCTCATACACATATATCTATGTTTGGCTATTACAACTTACCCATATTTATTTTAAAATGTAACAGAGGAGAGTTGAGTAAGGAAGACACTGGATGTCCATACACAGACAAATGCACTTACGGGCACACACACAAAGAGAAATATCTTAGGAGGTGTGCTGTGAAGGAAGCTGTGTCCGTTAAGGAGAAAGGGGCCTCAGAGATCAGCCCAGAAGGATACCTCTGGATTTATCCTCCGTGCTATTTTACCAGGATTTTTTTTTCCTCATGTCTATCTGAGGATCGATCCTCCCTCCCTCCCTCCCTCCCTCCCTCCCTCCCTTCCTCCCTCCCTCCCTCCCTCCCTCTCTCCCTCCCTCTCTCCAGACAGTGTGTCTCTGTCACTGTTCCTGTCCCAAAACTCACAGAGTTCTCCATGCCCAGCCCAGTAGTTATGTTTTCTTACCAGTGCACAAGTTCTAATCACTAACAGATGACCACCAAGCTCAATGTCAAATACGGTGGATCATCTTTCTGCCACTCCTGGATAATGCACACAGGACTCTAAGTTAGCTTACCACGGACGACCTGCATATCTGTGTTTACTGCAGACAGCACAAGTCACCACAGCCAAGATACGGAAATACAGAACCAGTCAACAGATGAATAAAGAAAATGTGATAACATACATACATACATACATACACACATACATACACACACATACATACACACATATGTATGTGTGTACATACACACACCCATACATACATGGGCACAGTAGAGTCCTATTCATCCATTAAAGAATGAAATGGAATCATTTATAGGAAAGTGGATAGAAGTGGAGATCCTAGTAACAAATAATGCAGACACAGACAGACAAATATCACATTTTCTCTCCTCTCCGGATCCTAGATTTTGAGTAGAGTAGATACATAAAATCATTGGTGTGTGTGCGTGCGTGTGTGTGTGTGAGAGAGAGAGAGAGAGAGAGAGATGACAGAAGCAAGATTGTCTGGAGAAGGAAGAGACTAACAAGAGAAGGGAGAAGAGGGAGCTTTGGAGGGTGAATGTGGTCAAGCACACGGCTTGCTTGAATGAAATGTCTTTATGAAGCCCTGTACCCACCGGTGAATGTTCTACAAAGACTTGTCTTGTTAGTAGGCGGCTTACAGGATACCATTTTAACAGGAGGCTTCGTTCTTCTCGTCCTATTCAGAACTAAGAGAACAGAGTGACTATGGTCTTTGCTCACAGAATGGATAACGACCAATCACCTGTACTTGCTGCTACCCTGCTGGTGCCCCTTCAGAACTACAGCTGCCTGGAAGCAGCTGAGGCCCTGCTGCCCCATGGCCTGATGGGATTCCCTGAGGAGCACGACTGGATGAGCAACAGGACAGACCTTCAGTATGGACTCAACCCTGGAGAGGTGGCCACAGCCAGCATTTTCTTCGGCGCTCTGTGGTTGTTCTCGATCTTTGGCAATTCCCTGGTGTGTCTGGTCATCCACAGGAGCCGGAGGACTCAGTCCACCACCAACTACTTTGTGGTCTCCATGGCATGTGCTGACCTTCTCATCAGCGTGGCCAGCACACCGTTTGTCGTGCTGCAGTTCACCACCGGAAGGTGGACCCTCGGTAGCGCCATGTGCAAGGTAGTGCGCTACTTCCAGTATCTCACTCCAGGCGTCCAGATCTACGTGCTCCTCTCCATCTGCATCGACCGGTTCTACACCATCGTCTACCCTCTGAGCTTCAAGGTGTCCAGAGAGAAGGCCAAGAAGATGATCGCCGCCTCCTGGGTCTTAGATGCAGCCTTCGTGACACCTGTCTTCTTTTTCTATGGCTCCAGCTGGGACAGCCACTGTAACTACTTCCTCCCTCCCTCCTGGGAGGGAACTGCCTACACTGTCATCCACTTCTTGGTGGGGTTTGTGATTCCCTCTGTCCTCATAATCTTATTTTACCAGAAGGTCATAAAGTATATCTGGAGAATAGGCACTGATGGGCGGACCCTGAGGAGGACAATGAACATTGTCCCCAGGACCAAGGTGAAAACGGTCAAGATGTTTCTCCTCTTGAACGTAGTGTTTCTGTTCTCCTGGCTGCCTTTCCATGTGGCTCAGCTCTGGCACCCCCATGAGCAAGACTACAGGAAGAGCTCGCTTGTCTTCACAGCGGTCACATGGGTATCCTTTAGCTCTTCAGCCTCAAAGCCCACTCTCTACTCCATTTATAATGCCAACTTTCGGAGAGGGATGAAGGAGACTTTGTGCATGTCCTCGATGAAATGTTACCGCAGCAATGCCTACACCATCACAACCAGTTCAAGGATGGCCAAAAGAAACTATGTTGGCATTTCGGAAATCCCTCCCATGAGCAGGACGATAACCAAAGACTCTGTCTATGACTCATTTGACCGAGAGGCCAGGGAAAAGAAGCTGGCCTGGCCCATCAATTCAAACCCACCAAACACTTTTGTCTGATTTCTAAGAATTCCTTCACTGTTATGTGCCAGAGATTAAAAAGCTTTAAATATAAAGAGGGAGTGATTTGCTTAGCTTTCACTCAACTGTCTACTTTGTAAAGTGCATACACGGTTGACTATGGTTTCTGCGGATTTTGTTCTAGTTGCCTTTGTTGGTTAATAGTGCTTCAACCATTAGATGCCCGTGGGAAGTTCTTTCCTGGGCTGGAGAGATGGCTCAGTGGTTAAGAGCACTGGTAGGTCTTCCCAGGACTCAAATTCAAACCCCAGCATAGTCCCCATTAATTCCAGTTTCAGGGAATTCAGTGACCTCTTTTGGCCTCTAGGGACAGCAAACACTTGTGATGCACAGTCATTTATGCAGATGAAACACCTGTACGTATAAAAGTAAAAACAAAAACCTGTTTGTTGGTGTGTTTGAAAGTTCTTCCCTGAATGTGGACACTGGTTAGGGGGTGAAGGCTCTTTCTACCGAGCTTGACAGTTTGAGTTCAATCCCAGTAACCCACATGGTGGAAGGCGAGACTCAGCTCCGGCAAGTTGTCTTCCGGTCTCCTCACAAGTATTGTGGCATGCATGCACTTGTGTGTGCACACACTTCCACTAAATGCCTGCAAAAGAAAAATCAGAAACACTTTGCTGTTTTTGCTCTGTCACACATCCATGTACACACTCCTCTATTTTTGGCTCTTGACAATAGGCACCTTCTTCCACTGAACTTTCTTACTGGTCTAAGCCTTGAAATCAGTTTACTATTTCCCCATACCTGTGACCCATCCACACAGTTTCTAGGATCCATATCTCCCTTCTCTAAGTCACCTACAGGCAAAGGAGTAAGTATACTTGCTAAGCCTGCCAAAAACAGGAATGAAATTTTTCTGTGCTCTGCAGTTCACAGAGACCTTCAAATGCTGGCCCTACTGTGACCACTGGGCAAGATTTGGCTACTGTTTCTCCTATAAATTCAGACATGAGGCCTTTTATTGTAATTGCAATTAAAAAATAAAACTTTTGCCTATGTGTATATGTGTGTGTGGGTGCCCACAGAGGCCAGAAGATGGCATCGGATCCTCTGGGGCCAGAATTACAGGCTGTTGTAAGACACCTAACAAAGGTGTTGGGAACCAAATTTGGGTCCCCTACAAAGACAATATGTGCTCCTAACTGATAAGCCATCCCTCTAACTCCATGAGGTTTATCTCTAGTCAGACATCCTCTTCTCTCTAAATTGAACCATAATTTGCTTCCATACTCAAACTTCCTTTTCCTGTGTGATTTAGGATTTGGCTTTTTTATTTCCAGGTGAACATTATTTGAAATCTAGCACTAGTATGTTTAGAAAGTTGTTTTTTTTTTTTTTTTTTTAATTGTTTTGTTTTACACCTGGGTGTATCTAGCCCTCTGGAGATGGAGGAAGAATCAGGAGTTCAAGGTCATCCTTGGCTACACATGTGAGACCTTGACTCAAAGGCAATACACCACAAGACGAAAGGAATTTATTTTTAATGAAGTAAGGGCTTACAGACAAGCCTGGTTTGCATTTTCATGGGCTGGTTAACAAGAGCTGCATGTAAAAACTCATTGTTTAGCAATCTGCTTGTATTAGCTCATTCTCTCAACAATTCCATGATGTGTTTATGGTTTTTGTTTGTGTGTGTGTGCCTGTGTGTTTAGATTGGGTCTCATTTTATAGCTCAGGCTGGCTACATACTCAAGGCGATCTTGCCTCAGCCTCACCTGTGATGAGTTCATAATTGTCTCTATTTACCAGATAAGGAGACTGGAACTTCTCAGTGAGGCAGCTTGTCAGGCTGGAATGTGACAGCTGGCGTTCTGACTCAGGCCCTCCTCCTGTGGCTCATTCCTTACCATTTCAGATGTCTCCTTAGAGAACATGAACTGCCCCACTGAGACATGCCCTCTTGGCCTGATCATGACTTAGGTAGAACCGAAAGGTCTAAAATCTGGCTGTTCCGATAACGTCAAGATGGAGTTCAATGAGCTGACTCGCACATTTCTCTTGGCCATGAATTGGTTCTTTAGTCTTTACTGCTGAATGTTTTGAGGTCCAGAAGTTAGTCTCAGAAACATCAGTAAGTAAGACAAGATTGTGTTTGGTATTTGTGACAAAGGACAGCAATGCAGGCACTCAACACTCAGGAGGCAGAGACAGGCAGATCCCTGAGTTTAAGCCATCCTGTCCTACATAGCAAGATCCAGGCCAGCTAGGGCTACATAGTGAGAGCCGGTCTCGAAAGCCCAGACAAAGCTAAGACATTTACTCTAAGAGCATCTACAGAAGTTTGGCATGCTGGCACACCCTTGTCGTCATCACTCAGGAGGCAGAGGGACCTGGAATAAGACCTAGCACTTCCCTCCGTCCCTCTTTCCTTCCTCACACGCTTGGCAGATGACTCCGGATGAGTCAGATGCTTGCCTAACTTAGTGCTTGCATTTTATGGTTCAAACTTTAGAAAGGACCCTTCTAGTTGTTCTATTTATTTTTGTTTGTTTTATTTTTCCAGACAGGGTTTCTCTGTGTAGCCTTGGCTGTCCTGGAACTCAGAGTACTCTGTAGACCAGGCTGGCCTCAAATTCAGAGAGATTCACCTGCTTCTGCCTCCCTCATGCTGAGATTAAAGGCGTGTGCCACCATGTAGTTATTTAAAGACCAATTGTAGTGTGTATGTGTGTGTGTGTTCTTGTAGATGTATACAAGTGCCTATGGAAGCCAGGAGAGGCCATGAGAACCTCCTGGGAAGCCAACTCTAGTCCTCTGCAAGAGCAGCAAGTGCTCTTAATTGCTAAGCCGTTTCTCCAGGCCCTGACTATTTTAACTTTATTATTGTTATTGTGTGCGTGTATGATGTCTGTGTGCACACTCATGCCAGGCTCACTCAGCAAGCACAGCCGTTTTCCTAGTTTGCTTCTGTTCCTGTGATAAACACCACAACCAGAAGCAGCTTGGGAAGGAAAGGGTTTATTTCGTTTTACATATCTCAGGCCCATCTTGAAGGGAAGTCAAGGCAGGAGCCTGGAGTCCGAAGCTCAAGCAGAGCCCAGGGAAAAAAGCTGCTTACCTGCTTGCTGCTATGGCTTGCTGAGTCCAGCGCCTCCAGCCTTGGGGTGAGCTTGCCTGCAGTGGTCTAGACTTTCTCATATCGATCATCTATAAAGAAAACACCCCAACAGACTTGCCTCCAGGTCAGTCTGATGGAGGCATTTTCTCAATTCAGGTTCTTCCCAAATGACTCTAGCTTGTGTCAAGTCAACAAAAAACTAACCAGCACGCTTGCCCCGGTTTTTTTTTGTTTTTTTTTTTTAATTTATTTATTTATGGATTTTTTTTAAATTTTTTTTTTATTTGTTTGGTTTGGTTTTTCAAGACAGGGTTTTTCTGTGTAGACTTAGTTGTCCTGGAAGGCACTCTGTAGGTCAGGCTTTGCCTCCAGAGAGCTGGGATTAAAGTCACGTGCCATCATGCCCTGCCACAGTAGGACCCTCTTAAAATTTAAAGAAGAAAATGTGCAAAGCCTCAGTGGCAAAGTGATGGTCTAACACATAAGACGTTGGGGTTAATCCCCACCACCACTGCACACACACTCAAAAATCAAAAGCATTTAGGTTCATGCGTTGGATCCTAGGAGGCTGAAGACTGTCTGTCATAGGTTTGAGGTCACCCTGAACTTACATAGTTGAGTTCCAGGATAGCCTAGGCTACAAAGTGAGACTATGTCTCATAAAAAGTAAATACATGAAATAAATAATGTTTTTTAGAGCAGGAGGGACACTGGAAACCTTCACCCTCCAGAAGATTGAACTCAGGGCAACAAGTAAAGTTAGGGATAATCTACCATTCTGGACAAACTGGGTGTGTGAGATGAGCTAGCCACCAAACTGAAGACCAGAGTTCTGTCCCTCCAGGGAAGGGCCAGCTCCTCAAGAACCATAACTGCTATGGTTCCCCACTCCCCCCACAGATTTCATTTAAAATTTATTTTTAAATAAAGATGGCAACTAGTTCTGTGTCTCTCACGATGCGCTTGTTGGAGAATAAACGTCCTCGCTGAGGGCGGCCCTAGAGAGGATACAATCTGCCTTTGTTCTCCTGATTCATTGCAAGGATAGGCTGGAGAACTCCAATGCAGTTCTGCGAGAGGCCGCTTGGTGGCGCTGTCCCTATCGGGCAGAGCCGGCCTCTCTCCACCACCGAGCTGGTCACCGGAATTCAGAGACTTCGTCTCTTAGCAACCACACAGCCAAGCTTAGCACCCAGACTCAGCTGTGGGCTAATCAATCAGCATGCTCTAAACATCCGAGGAAATTCCCTAGCAAACAATACCCGTTACAGGCGCGAAATCGCTATTCAAAATACTGTTTAAAATTCATTTTACAAATGTGTTAGTGCTTTAAAAATCCCATAGCTCACCAAACCGGCAGTGGTACCACCAGCATTTACCGAGGCCTCCCGGTTTTCTGTTCGCTTTCTTTCTTTTTAAGAGTTTCATACATCCCGAGCTGGCTTTGAACTAATTATCTCCTGCTTCTACCCCCATCTCCCTACCTCCATCCCCGCCGCCCCAAGTTCTGGGATTACATCACTCCTGGTTTTATTCATTGCTGGGCATCAAACTCAGGACTTCGTGTGTGCTGGGAGAGCACTCTACAAGCTAAGCGACACTGCACGCCTCTTCTGAGGCGTTTGTGATTTGGCTCAAAGTGCAGACTTCATAGCAGCGTCCTGCACTTAGTTCCCCCTGAGTGGATGTGCATGCTCACTTAGTGTGGGATGAATCCACTTTAGGTCCATCTCATTGACTGCACACCCGCTATAATGTTTTGATCTGCTACAATCTGGGCAGCTCTGGACTTTTTCCAAATGTGGACACTTCAAGAGTATTATATATTCTTTCTCCGAATCCTTTTTTTAAAAATATATATTTATGGTAGTGAGCCTAGCCTTTAACGGCTGAGCTACCCCTCCAGTCTTCAGAAGCCTTTTTTAAAAATACTGTTTTGGGGTCCAGTGAGACGATTTAGTGGTTAAAGTTGCTTGACATCTAGCCTGGGACCTAAGTGATTTCTAAACCCACAGGGTGGAAGGAAATAGATTCCCACAGTTTGAACTCTGTCCTGTATGCATGTACACACACACACACACACACACACACACAGACACAGACACACACACCTCTAAATAAATACAAAAAATAAATAAAAATAAAACACTGCTTTCAGCCAGCTGTAATGGCTTCCACTTAACAATCCCAGCCACAGGGACAGACCCTGCTTCATCAGTATCTAGGTATGGTGTCTTGTCTTTCTTAGTTCATTTTCTTGTTGATGTGATAAAATACTCTGCCAAAAGTAACTCGAGATAAAAAAACGTTTATTTTAGTTCCCAGTTCATGGAAGCTAACCAGAGACAGCAGGAGCTTGAGGGAGTTGATCATATCTCAGCAGCTAAGAAAGAACCAGGTGAAAGAAGGGGAAAGGGACAGAGGGAGGGAGAGAGAGGGGAGAGATGGAGGGAGGAAGGGAGGAAGGGAGGGAGGGGGGGGAGACAGAACAAGGAGACCCTAGCCGAGTCTTTCTTCATTCTAGGGTCCTCTGCAGAAGGAATTGTACCCTCATAGTGGAGGGTTTTCCCACCTTAGAGCAGTCAAGGTCTTGAAAATCCCCCACGTAGACACACCCAGGGGCCTGTCTCCCAGGCAATCCCAGGTTCCCTCAAATTGAACACACTAACCCTGATCATTTGGGAGGCAGAAACAGGAGAATTGGGAATTCAAGGCCAGGATTGGCTGCGGGAGATCCTGCTTGGGGGAAAAAACAAAACGAAAACCCCTAAACAAAACCCAAACCAAATCAAAACACAAGTGTTGCGTCACTGACTCTTACCGACTTCCCATCAGCTGTGTTATGCAATAGAGATTACAGAATTTGGATTCACTTCAAACTTGAAGGATGTGGGATCTTAGCTCTGTGGGGTGACCGATGCGTGTGTTGCTTCTGACTGAGGCGGTGGATCTGAAGTTCTGAGGACAGGATTTGGAGCATGTGGCAGGCCATAGGTTACTTATTTGTTCTTTTAACTTAGTCATTGCAACCTGGCTGTGGTTTCGTATATGTAAACCCAGAACTTGGGAGGGCCACAGGAGGGTCCTAGAAATTAGTGATCCCCAGAATGAGCGAGAAAAGAAGGTGCAGAGGGGTTGACAAAGACCTGCTGGCAACCTTCCTTCCTCCATGTCTCAAGCACATCTAGCTGCCTGTCCCCCTGCTGGAAGAGTCCCTGTCTCCTGAGCCCCGCCTTGTTGGGGTGCCCCCCTCCCTCCTGCCTCCTCCCTCGTTTTGAAACATGTGGTCCCTTGAACTCTGCTCGGGGTGACTGTGCTGAGCCTCCCCCACCTGAGTGCTGGGATCGCAGGTATTCACCGTTAGTGTGGAGCGAGGCATGGTTTGAGCTGGTGTCTGCTAGACAAGCTCTCTGCCAACTGAGCCCATGCCCTGGCTATGATGTCTTTCTCGAATTAGGCTGTTTCTCATTTGTACTCAAGGCCCTTTCTCGAAGCTCCAGGAAGGGCTCAAGGTACAAAAACATTCTTTTTTTCTTTTTTGGCCCATGCTAAGCATAGATCTTTGTCTTTCTGGTTGTAAAAGCTTGCTAGGTGGTAGTGGCACTCACCTTTAATCCCAGCACGTGGGAGACAGAGGCAGGTGGATCTCTGTGAGTTTGAGGCCAGCCTGGTCTACACAGCTGGTCCAGGACATCTAGAACTGTTACACAGAGAAACCCTGGCTACTATATGCATTTATCTTTTTGTTTTTTGAGATGGCATCTCACATTAGCCCAGGTTATATCTAAACTTGTTATGTTGCCGAGAATGACCCTTTTCTGTTCAGCTGTAAGGGGCCAAAATGAGGTCATTTCTTGTTTGTTGCCATAGACCTTGTATCTTCTGTCCTGTGGCCCTGGAAGGGATGGTCTTGGTGTGGTCTTTGCCCTGTTTGATTCTGAGCTGTCCCAGCCTTTAGACTCTGTCTCGGGGTCTTACAAGTGCTTGCCAGGAAGGGGGTACTGAGGGACGCCAAAGCTGGACTGTGCTTTTCCTGTTCAAATCTTTAATGATCAAAGGGTCTGTCAGGTACAGCTTACTGCTCAACTCTAGCCCAGTTCAACCCAGTCCAACCCAGTCCAGCCTAGTCCAGCCCAGTCCAGGCTTGCTCAGCCCAGTCCCACAGTGTTTGGGACCCTGTGTCAAACAGAGCAAATGGATTAGTTGAGTCTGTGGAGACCCCAGGATTTAAGAATTCAGCTGGATGTAGTAGAACAGGCCTTCAATCTCAGCTCTCAGTAGGAAGAGGCAGGGGGATTTCAGTGAGTTCAAGGACAGCCTGATTCACATAGCAAATTCCAGGCCAGCCAGGGATGAAGAGTGAGACCTTATTTAAAGAAAAGAAAAAGAAATTCAGCCAGTTTTCTGCCTCAGGATCCTAGAGTGGGCAGGGCTTCAGCAGCTTCCGGATGGTAACTACAACCTGTCCTACAACAGCCTGAACTTCCGGGCAGTTCCGTGCTGCTGAGTCCCTGAGTTCCTCCAGCCCACTTGTTCTGGGAGCCTACACTCTGGGGCCTCAAATGTGCCTGTTCTGAGATGGGCTGTGCTAGCCGACATTTGGGGGACATTGATTGTCCATGATCTGCGGCATTCGCTGGTTTCCGTAGAGTACACACACCTACCATTGCTGAGTAACTAGCACACTGATGTCACGGAACATGGAGTAGAAGAAACACACTGAACTGGGCTAAAACCATCTGTAAAATGCAGTTATTTTGCACACTTTTCAAAAGGGCACCCCTGGTGAGTTGAGGAATTAAACAGGTGAGCTGGTTGGGTAAATTCTGGGCAGACCTAGGCAACAGGCATGTCTCAATGAGCGGATAACAGGTGGCTTTCTCCCAAAGGACTTACTAAGGGGGAATGTGAGCTGGAGTTCAGGCCCATCAGCCACCTTCACTGTGTGTCTTTGTACACTGTGCCATCAGCACAGCTTTACATGACAGTCCAGACTTGGAACAACAATAACAACAACAAAACCCTGTTACTTAGCAGCCTGGAAATCGTTGTATGTAGATGATCAGAGCATAGTATCACTGGTTGGAATATCAGTGGTTCTTAAGATGAACCTAATTAATTAAAGGCTATTATTGTCACAAAGAGCCTCCAATTATACCAATTCAAAGGACAAGCATAGCAATATATAGAAAACAACCTGGGAATAGGCTAATATTACACATTTTTGTTTGAGCTCATTAAACATTTTTATTTTTGGTAATTTAAATCCTTGGATACTGGGAATATTTTTATTTTTTTCTGCATTTGTTTAGTGTGTTTATGGGTGTGTGACTAAAGAACATCTTGGGGGAGAGGGTGCTCCCTTCTGCTGTGTGTGTGGGTTCCAGAGATCAACTCAGGTTGTCAAGTGTGGTGACAAATGGCCTTTACCTGCTGAGCCATCTTGCCAGCCCAGTCCTGTGCTATTTGACAAGCTGGTTTCCATACCCAGTGGTTAATCTTGTCAATTTGATGAGATTTTATCACCCAGGAATACCTCTAAGTTTGTCTATGAAGGCATTTCCAGAGGAGTTAACAGAGGGAGCACTCACCCTGAATGGGGACAGCTTTATCCACTGTCTGGGGACACGAACCCAGGATAAAAAGAAAAGCTCATCAGAAGCATCAACCATGCAGCCTTACTGCAGGTGCAATGTCTGCTTCTTTATTGCAGGAGCAGTGACATCAACCCTGCATCCTTACTGCAGATGCAGTGACATCAACCCTGCATCCTTACTGTAGATGCAGTGACATCAACCCTGCATCCTTACTGTAGATGCAGTGACATCAACCCTGCATCCTTACTGTAGATGCAGTGACATCAACCCTGCATCCTTACTGTAGATGCAGTGACATCAACCCTGCATCCTTACTGTAGATGCAGTGACATCAACCCTGCATCCTTACTGTAGATGCAGTGACATCAACCCTTCATCCTTACTGCAGATGCAGTGACATTAACCCTGCATCCTTACTATAGATGCAGTGACATCAACCCTGCATCCTTACTGTAGATGCAGTGACATCAACCCTGCATCCTTACTGCAGTTGCAGTGACATCAACCCTGCATCCTTACTGTAGATGCAGTGACATCAACCCTGCATCCTTACTGCAGTTGCAGTGACATCAACCCTGCATCCTTACTGCAGATGCAGTGACATCAACCCTGCATCCTTACTGTAGATGCAGTGACATCAATCCTGCATCCTTACTGCAGTTGCAGTGACATCAACCCTGCATCCTTACTGTAGATGCAGTGACTAACTGCCTTACATTCCTACTGCAGTGCCTTCCCTAGGTTGGATTGAACCTTAAACCATAGGCCAAAGTAAAACCCTTCATCAGACATTTTGTCACAAGAAATGACTAAAATGACCCAACTTGTCACACCAGCTACCCTTTGAAAGTGACTCTGCTGATTAGATCATTCAGAGTGACTCAGAAAATGGGATGAGGATCTGCTTAGTCCCATTTAAATACAAAAGAGTTATGTTTACATGCAGGGGCCCATCAGATCCCTGTAGTTGCAGGCTGTGTGAGCCATCATGTGGGTGCTGGGAACTGAACCTGGGTCTTCTGCAGGAGCAGCAAGCAGTCTTAACCACCTTGAGTGCAGAAGCAGAGGATAGATCACGAGTCAATTCTCTCCCTTCCGCCCTGTGGGGACTGAACTGTCGGGCTTGGCAGCAAGTGCCTTTGCCGGATGAGCCATCTTGATGATCCGGTTCCCTTTTCCTTTATCTGCTCTAAGTGTATACAGAGGCATTTCAGCACTGTGAAACAGGCAATATGACTTGATTTTGGTGAATATACTTTATTTTTCATAAAAATATAATTGTACAATGCTCTTCTGAGAAAAAACATCCTTCATTGCCCCCAAATACCATGTGGTTTAATTATCTCTCATCTTTAAAAAAACGAAATATGCATTTTAAAATTTATAACATGCAGCTGATTTCTGTGAAATATATTTATTTTTGTTAAATTTACTTGCTTTTAACTAAAAGTGAAGCCCAATTTAAATATTTTTTTTTTTTTTTTAATAACCAGCCAAAGCAAATCCATCACAGTTCAAAGATGGTAAATTCTAGATGGCGATGCTGAGCACTGTCTGCAAGGCAAACAGTGGCAGGGATGGTGGCTATATGGTTGTCACAGAAAAGAAATTAAGAACTTCAGCTACAGCCTAAAAGCTGACCAGACCAGATCAATTCCATATTGCACCAGTTACTTTAATATGTGGAAAGTGGATTCTAAAATTATAGTGGATTCTAAAATGATAGAGTTGGATTGGTGAATTCACAAATATATTTTCTCCTTAATTTTTGAGATAAAAAGAAAAAGGAGACAGGCTCTGTTGACTGAGGCACATGGCCTCTTCCTGCCCTGGGTGAAGGCCTTGGGATCTGTCCTCTCAGCCTGCTATCCTCTGGGAAGGAGGCGCAGTCGCCTGCAGTGCCACAGGATGGAGATGGAGATGCTCCAGCTCTTGGGAGTCAGGACCAGTGATCAGATCGCAGGCTTCTGAGGAAGAAGGGCCAGCACAGTTCCCAGAGCAATCAGCACGTCCCCTTCAAACACTAAGGGCCATTCTCTTGGTTTGATTTCTCTAGAACACTAAAGCGATACAGGCACAAGAATAAACTCGAGTGTATTCAACTTCACTCCAAGGCCAACTGCTCTACTTGGGGATGACCCTGCATCACAATTAGAGCCTGCAGAGTCATTAGCACAGTGCAGACATTCCACTGAGGGCCACATTCATCCTGGAATGTTTGCTTTGAAATCAACTTTCCTAGAGAGTTCTAAGGTACTGAACAAAGCAACATAAAGTCATGGGCTGTTCTGCAGAGTAATAGTGTATGACTGAGTAGACCAGCTGGCAGAAACACACCCAGGACAGTCTCAACACTATATTTGAAAACACTTAAATTCTGAAGGGTCTGAATATCAACTACCCTTTGTCTACATTTATGGTCCTAAGAAGATATTAAATACCCTTAAATGCCCATTTTCTTAAACACAGAGAGCCCCAGCAAGCTGGGCTAGTGGTCTGTCGGTGGTCACACACACCTAACATGGGATCTAAGTTTGAAGCTTGAGATCTAGGGATCTTGAGCTAAGGGGAGGCATCTGTTTAAATGCCTGCCAAGAGACCCATCTCGTGTCCCACATCACAGAAAACCTGCCAGGCATGTCTGAACCATGGCTTGCAAGCTGTACATGCCTCAGAATAGCTAGGAATGTGTCCCAGCACAAAACTGTAAACTCACTTAAAACATTCAGTTCTCAGGCTTCAAGTCACAATGTCAAAATGTTGGACATGCCTGAAGAGTATGACACCTCCTCACCCTTTGCCAGTCTGTAGCAAACACTTCTTTTTTGGAAGCCAAGTTCCTGCCTCATCAGAGTGAGGAACAATTGTAGTTTAGCAGCAACAGAGAACACAATATCTGACTGAACTAGCAAGAGTGAAGAAGAAATTCCTCATCTTGGCATATCCTACTATGAGCTCTGCCCCTCAACTCTCACTCCCTATCGTGTAAATGCAGCTGGGATGGAGACCATACAGGGCCACCTGCCATTCCGTATGCCTGCCAGGCCCCAAGCTGCAGGGTAAGGCACAGCTCAGGGTGCCCCGGCACAGCGGAGGCACAGGCTAAAGCAGGCACAAGCACATGGTGGGTTCTTTCTGGCTCAGAACACATTCACAAGGACACTCGCGTCAGGGAAGACACTGAATACTCTGCCAAGGGCAGCAGCCATCAGCATCGCCAGCGGTGCGCCTGTGCTCTGACAGGCGGGAAGGCAGACACTCAGTCTCAGCAGCTAGTTTCATTCTATGTTCTTCAAAAAATTCCATGCTTTAGTTGAGCACACAAGTAAACGTGTGTGAACATTCACTCCTGTCTACTCCATGTACATGTAGATATACAACAGAAACACATGTGAACCCACACACTGCAGGTTCAGATAATGAATGCTACTGAAGGGTACTTTTCACCTAAAAATAAAACATGGCTAATTCTCCAAGCTCGGATTGGGCCCTAGCCAACTTTCATAAACACAGTGTGAGGAGACAGCAAAAGAGGCTGTCTGTGGCGTTCTTGTTGGGTTTCTTATGTACATTCTTTAAAACAGGCATATCACTATGGATTATAAAAATAGAAATGTGTATCTGTTAATATATACTCACAGCTTGTGCTGGAATGGCTCACAGACAATCAAACATTACTCAAGTAAATATAAAGGAGTAACATTGGGTCCATAAAGGCTGAGAACCACAGCAAACAAACATCCTGTTTGGTTTCTTTTTGCAGAGTGATTAAAACATGAAGAGAAGGGACAACTAAACACACACATAAACAAATACACGAATTACATAGGAAAAATATAAATTAACCAAAAAAGCCATACGGCTAAGGTGCAAACATGCGCTTTCCATCCACTTTCCTCTCTTCTTGTGGTTTCAGGCGTCATAACTTGTTGACCAACATGGAGAACAATACAGAGCAGGTCTGAATGTTGGCAAATCTAAGTGTTGAAAATTAAAGCAAAGGCCTTCGTGATGTATAATCACACGTTTTGGTAGAAACTTCGGATTTACAGAGATGCCTACTGAGCAGTAAGCGGTAGGGGGAGACAAGAAGCAAAGTCCTGCCCATGTGTCCTCCATAGTCGTTAGACCATTGGCTTTGATCACTGACTCCATTTTATATGCTCTTCACCCTGGACAGAAAACAAATACACCAGCAGGAGAATGTTTTTAGTCACGAGGTTTGATCACTCCAGTTTTAAATTTGTGAATTTGTTTATTCATTTATTTCTGTGTGAGTGTGAAAATGAAGAGGCCTCACCACATCAGTGCAGCCATGACAGGTGCAAACTAGCAACACTGGGACTAGGCCTCACCCTTACAATAACCAGGAAAAACCGCATGATCCCCTGGGGAGCAATCAGAATTGAGACAAGCAAGTACTGGATGCTCCAGAAAATTAAGAATAGCTTACCTACCTTATCCCTAACTGATACACAGGTTGCCAATTTCCTTACAGCAACACCAGTACCAATCCCTGTTTGACAAGACTCCTGCTACCCAACTCCTGCCAAACCAGGAGTTCTATCCCCATCTGAATCTGGGATCCCCCCTCCAATCCTCTACTCCTTAAAACCCTGCCATCGCTGAGCTCAATGTTCTCCCTGATCCAACAGCCATTGGAACTGACAGAAAGTCCAAGCTCAAGCTTGCAATAAAAGCTCTTTGCTTTTGCATATGAACTCTGACTCCTGGTGGTCTGGGGGAGGGGGTTCACCACTCGGGCATAGCATGTACAGGCACATGCCATGGCACACATGTGGAGGTCAGAGGACAACCTTACATCCAGTCTTCACTTCATGGCACATTTAAGGCAGGGTCTTTTTGTTTTTCGACCGTGTATACCAGAACTGCCACCCTGTGAGCTTCCAGAGACTCCTGTCTCCACATGCCCTCTGGCTATTGAAGCACTGGGATGGCACAGCAGACTATCGTGCCTGGCTTTATGATTCTGGGATTCAAACTCAGGTCCTTGTGCTGTCACAGGAAGCACTTCACTCACCGAACAGTTGTGGGTTTTGGAGACCGGATTTTATGTATAGCCCAGGCTTGTCTCAAGCACTCTATGTAAGAGGATGACCCTGAGCCTCTCTTGTCAAGTAATGGAATTACAGGTGTGTACCACCACACCCAGCTACAGTTCTTCACTTTTTCTTCAGGTTAATATATACAGGAAGGCTTGTGTTGATGCTATTGTTTGTTTTGTTATGAGACATGATCTTACTCCATCCCAGGATGGCCTGGAATTATGTTCATCAGTGGATGGTTACACTGATGAACTCTAGAATCAGCTGGGAGAAGGTTTGTGGGGGTTTACTTTGTTGCACTAATTGATATGTAATGGCTTACCTTAACTAATGGTGGCACCATGTCTGAGACAGGGGACTTTGGACTGCATTGTGTGGACAAAGAGAGCTGAGTATCACTACTCTTTGCTTCTTACTGGGGATGTGCTGTGAGCAGCTGCCTCAAGCTCCTACCTCTGTGACTTCCTCACCATGGTGGTCTGTATTTTGAACTGCAAGCTAACATAGATTGCAGTGGAATGATCCTTCTGTACACTGTGAAAGTGTATCACTCTCATTGTTGACAAGAAGCTGATTGGCTGATGGCTAGGCAGGATTTTCAGGGAGAGAGAATGCTGAGAAGGAGAGCAGAGGAGTAACCAGTCAGATGGAAAGGAAGCAGGACATGCAGGAGAGATGAAAGCCAGCCTTGGGGCAGCACATGGATGAATAGAAATGGGGTAATTTGAAAGAGTGAGTTAGTTAGTAATAAGCCCGAGCTATCAGCTGAGCATTTATAATTAACAATAGTCTCTGAGTGGTTATTTGGGAGTGGGTGCTAGGACACAGAGAAACTGCCTACAACAAACTCTTTTCCAGTTGGTTTCATCAGGGTATTTTATCACAGCAACAGGAAGAGAAACTAAGACAGTAGTCCAGACTGACCTCAAAATCATAGTAATCTTTTTGTCTCAGCCTCCTGAATGATCAAATAACAAGTGTGAGTCACACGTTCAAGTACTAAGGCTTTTAAAAAATTATAAATATATAGAAAATTAGTTATGTTGGTTATTTTAATAAGGCTTTTAATAAATTATAAATATATAGAAAATTAGTTATGTTGGTTATTTTAACTAGTTTAATTCAGATTAAGGTGTAATGTTATCTACTAAAAGTTATCAAAAACCAAATTCCTTTAATTTCCTAACTTTGAGATTATGTCTCACATAGCCTAGGTTGTCTTGCCTCCACCTCACTGGGCACCCAGTATGGCAACATTTACTTATAACTGTAGCCCTCCTAATAACAAGGAAAAGAAGGAAGTGCCTGCCATTTTCATCCTCCACCTCCTGGGTGACAGATTACACACCGAAACCATGACATCCTAAAACCTTCACTCTCTTCAACCAACAAACACGTGCAAGACATGAGTCTCTGCGTTGTGTCACCAAGGAGGCTGAGCTCATTGTGCACCCTTGATTATGGAACCTTTTCATGTGATGTTAAAAGCACCAGCAACAGATGATAAAAGAAGCTAACCAGAGTTAAATTTTTGTATATCCAAGGACACTATCAATAAAGCGACAACACAGCTGAGTAAGCAGGAGAAAAGCCTGCAGACCACACACCTAGTGCCTAGAGCAAGAGGGAACTCCTAAAACTCCACAGCAGAGCATGGGGAAACATTCATATCCTAGCTCACAGGAAGCTAGGGAGGAGGATCGCTGAGGTTCAGCAAGCTTGGGCTGGACGGTGAGACTCTGCCTCAAAAGAACACAAACAACATAAAAAAGTGTCAACAACATAACAAAACACTTCACTGAGACACTGGCAAACTTAAACATGTCTCCAAAAAGCATATACAAATGGCCAATGCCCACAAAAACAAAACACGGAATCAGTATTTATTAAGGTATTGTAAATGAGGTGCTCGTGAGATGCCTCAGGGGTTAAAAGTTCTTTCTATCTAATCCAGGTGACCGGAGTTTGATTCCCAGAACTGACATAAAGGCAGGAGGTGTTGTGGAATGTTAATTTAAGATGTGTTACATTTGTTTATGCTGTTGAACATTTGTTTAATGACCAAAGATGCGTTGCCTTCTTATGTTTCATTTGGTTAACTCTGTGAAGCTGTGTTACTTTGCCTGTCTAAAACATCTGATTGGTCTAATAAAGAGCCGAATGGCCAATAGCAATGCAGGAGGAAGGATGTGTGGTGCTGACAGGCAGAGAATAAAGAGAAGGAGCAAGAACAAGGAGAGGAAGATGCTGGGGGCCAGCCACCCTGCCACACAGTCAGCCACAGGGTAAGAGGTAAAGCAAGATACACAGATTTAAGAGAAAGGTAAAGCCCAGAGGCAAAACATAGACTGGCTAATTTAAGTGAAGAAAAGCTGGTTAGCCAGAGCGTGTGGCCTTGGACCCCGGCTGCCAGCCCACACCGGGAGACGGTGGAAGCTATTTGACCATGAACCAGACTCTCACCCTCAGCCCCGACTGCACCTAGAAGAGTGCTCACCATAGCCAAGGCACCACTGACACCGGGAGGAGGGCCCCAGAGCTGTGGGTCTACCTGCCTGCAGTGAAAGCAGTCTCCAAAGGCTCAGCTGCCTGCACCTGAAAGAATGTGCAGTGGAACCACAGCGCCCAGCTACACCAGTGGGAGGGAGCGGGAGGCCTGGGAGCACAGCCACCTGTGCTGATTGGAAGAGCTGCACAGACGACAAGGTAAGAGAGCATTGGACAACAGAGAACGATGCAGCACCAGCAGAAAACAGCGGTGCCACATCAGTAGACCTAAACATCCCAACACAGACGAAAGCAGGAAAACTCTGATGACAGCTTATGCTGGATATGATGGGGGCCAAGGGGAACACTCCCCCATTGCTGGTGGGAATGTAAACTCGTACAGCCACTTTGGAAATCAGTATAGGGGTTCCTCAGAAAACGGGGAATCAATCTACCCCAAGACCCAGCAATACCACTTTTGGGCATATACCCAAAGGATGCACATTCATGCCACAAGGACATTTGCTCAACTATGTTCATAGCAGCGTTATTCGTAAGAGGCAGAACCTGGAAACAACCTAGATGCCCCTAATGGGGCTTGTCCTTCTGTATACATGTTTCTCATATTGGTTGATGGATAAAACACTATTTGGCCAATATCCAGTAGAGGCAGAAAGATAGGCAGGGCTAGGAGATGAGGAGGATGTTGGGGAGAGATGCCACATAGAGACTGGGAAGTTAGGATGTGCCAGGCATTCTCTGGTAAGATGAGGCTATGTAGAATTACATAGATTAGTAGTTATGGGTTAATAGTTAAGAGAGAGCTAGCCAGTAAGAAACCCCAGCCATAGCTAACAGATTTATAATTAATATAGTGTCTGTGTGCTTACTTTGGGACTGAGAAACAGTGGTGGGACCTGGCAGGACAAGAAACTCCAGCAACATGCCCCTTAACCAAATAATAGATAAGGAAAATGTGGTATATTTACACAATGAAATATTACTTACTCATCGGTAAAAAACAATGACATCTTGAAATTTGCAGGCATATGGACAGTGCTAGAAAAAGCCATCCTGAGTGAGGTAACCCAGACCCAGAAAGACAAATATATTATGTACTCACTCATAAGTGGATATTAGACATAGAGCAAAGGACAACCAGCCTACAGGGCACACCCCCAGAGAACCTCAGTAACCGAGGACCCTAAGAGATACACGTGGATCCGTCTAGGAAGGGGAAAGACAACATCTCCTTTGTAAATTGGGAGTGTGGTGGGTAGGGGGAAGAGTGGAAGAGGAGTGGGGAAAAATGTATAACTGAATAAAAAACGAGAAAAGCTGGCTAGAAACAAGCCAAGCTAAGGCCAGGCATTCATAAGAAAGAATAAGCTCTGTGTGTGATGTATTTGAAGCTGGGTGGTGCGCCCCCGTAAGAGTAAAGAGTAAAATCAACCAACACGGAGAACAGATTCCACAAAATCGTCCTCTGAGCTCTACACATGCACTGTGTACATGCACGCCCAATCAAAGCACACACAGTACCAAACACAATGGTACTGCAACATGCTCACTAGAAGGGCTATAGTTTAAAAACAAATGATCAATCCATCAAACAGCTTGGACACTGGGCATGGTGCCTGCTAGCACAGATCTGTAACCTCGTCACCTGGGAGGGGAGGCAGGGGCAGAAGGATTGCAGGAAGTTCAAGGCCAGCCAGCATAGTAAACATGAGTCCTAGGTCATCTAAGGTAACATAGCAAAACTCTTTACAAAAATAAATAAAATAAAATAAAGCCATAATCCTAGTACTCATGAGACAAAGGAAGGTGAATCTGGGTTTGAGGACAGCCTGGTCTACAAAGTGAGATTCAGGACATCCAGGGTTATGCAAAGAAACCCTGTCTTGAAAAACTAATAAATGAATAAATAAAATTTAAAACAAAACCCCAAATAGGGCTGCAACAGTGGCACATGCCTGTAACCCTGGCTACCAGAGAGGCCGAGGCACAAGTATTACTTGAGCCCTGGATTTCAGTCCCAGGCAACATAGTGAGATCTCATGTCTCACAAAAAAGACAGAAAATGGCAAGTATTGATGAGATGTAGAGAAAGCACTGTTAGTGGGAATTTAACACACCTTGGCCATCATAGAAAAGAGTTCAGCAGTCCTTAAGAGAGTTAAACAGAATTCCTTATGGCCCAGCAGTTTGACCCCAGGAATACATGCGGAAGAGCTGGGCAGGCTGAAGGCAGGAGGGTCAGGGTGCAGTTTCTCCATAGTTACACAGTGAGTTGAGGCACCTCCCTCCCCCCGCCCAGCCAAGTCAAGCCCATACATGAACACCTGTATACACATGTTCACAGCAGCAATGTTGACAGTATCCCAGAAGCCAGCAGATAGAAACAAATGCCTATCAAAATGGACAGATGGATAGACCACCATGGTATGTGCATCTATAAAATAATGGATCATAAGAAAGAATGAGATTCTGATACATGGTATAACATGAGTCAGTCATGAAAAGACCAGACTAAGTTAATGAAGTCAGATGCAGAAGATACTAAATGATCCCAAATATACGAAATGCCTACAGTGGATTAATCTATTGGGACCTCGGGTCCATGGTTGCAAAGGGCTGTTTAATGGTCCAGGGATCTTTTCTATGGTAATCACATATTTGTGGTTAAAGATGACAGTTGTGTAACACCACAAATACACTAAAAGTCTCTGCACTGTAATTTTAAAATGGCAGATTTTTAAAGCTGCCATTTTAAAGTTCATTTCATGTCACATGAATTTCACCTCAACAAAAATAAAAACCACCCTGGGCTGGGCACGTAGAGAACTTACCTAGTTATTTCTGAAGCTATGGGTTCAATTCCCCAGCACTACAAAAGAAGAAAAACACCTTCAGTTACAACTTACTGTAGCAAGAGCCTGGACTCTAAAATTTCACTTGAGAGACCCGGGGCCTCACCCAGCCACTCTATTTCTCCTCTCCTTTCCTGTTTTGGTCTTTGTCCTGGGACTGAATGGTAGGCCTAGAGCAATGGTTCCATCCTGTGGGTCAAGACTCCTTTAACAAACCTCTATTATCTCCAAATATATCTACATTACAATTAATCTTTATTTTTGAGTTTTTGTTTTGTTTTGTTTTAAGACAGAGTTTCTCTGTGAAGTCCTGGCTGTCCTGGAACTAGGCTTGCCTCTGCCTCCCACGTTCCGGGATTAAAGGCATGTGCCATATCACCTGGCTTACAATTCATAACAGTAGTGAACATACTCTGAAGTAGCAATGAAAAATAATTTTATGATTGGGGATCACCAAAAATGAAGAACTGTTTTAGAGTCAACAGCTCTTTAGCACTGTTATTGGATTAAATGTCTAAGTTAAATGTTAAACTACCTTGTAAGCTGTGAGTAAATGCACATGTAAAAAAAGTTGTATTAACACTCTGAGGGCCACTTTAAATTATGGTCTGTCTACCATATATTCACCAGCTGACTGGGCTATTCATTCTGTCTTTTGACATGGGGTCTTTCTATGAAGCCCATGCTGGCCTCCATCTCGAAGCTTCCCTACGTGACGGCCGAGCACGTGTACACCACCACACCCTGCCTTCTGCTGGCTTTCACTTCAGGGTTTGGGATCTTCTACCACAACACTTGCTGACTAGCAATCTTAAAATGACATCAGTGCTCCATTTTATTTCAAGTCTCACTCACTCCACCTTGGGATGTTTCTGTGGACGGTACTCACACAAATTGGTGTTAGCATCTGTCTTCCCAGCTTTGGGATGCCTGCTTGAGTTCTGTTGAGACTTGTTCTGCTCCTCTCCGGTGAGTAGGGCCCTTATTTCAGAAGGGATTTTCCCTTGGTCCATTGCCATGCACCATTGCTTGTACTGAAATATTTAATACAGTTAAGTAAAATGCTAAATTGGAGTTCAGATAGCATGTGTGGAAATCCTAGATACAGGAGCTGCCCTGAGGGCTTGACTGTAGCTCACTGCTAGAGCACTTGCTTAGCATGCAAGAGGCCTTGGGTTTAATATCAAGTAATGGGTGAGGGGAGACTCTCTCTAGTAAATATTCACTAAACAACTACCAGTGGTAGCTGCACACACTACTATTACATGTATGAGAACACACACACACACATTCTACCACAGTGTACACTATAGACTTTGGGGGTATACAAAGATTCTGCCCTCAGGCAACTTATATTGCAGAAGCCAAAGTAATAACATGACATATAACAGACCAAATTCAACATAAAAATCAATAGCAATGTATTACAAGAAATAAACGGAAGAGCAGCCATCTGGAGCATCTTAATGCCTTTATTACTTCTTTGCTTTTTGTGCATGGGTACAAGTGCATGCCTGTGTGCATGTCTCACTGCATGTGAGTTCATGTAGAGACTAGCAGTTGATGCCAGTGTCTTCTGAATTTCTCCCCCATTATGTTTTGAGACAAGGTATCTCCCTGACCTGGGAGCTCACTGATTGGCTAGATTGCTGGCCAGACATCCCCAGGGACCCTCCATCTCCCCTGCCCCTAGCACTGGGATGTCAAGTGTGTGCCACTGTCCCTGCTATGTGAATTCTGGAGACTGAATTCATGTTTGCATAGCAAGTGACTCACCCAGTCATCTCCCAGTGCCCCTTAAGAATTGTATTATTATTACTGCGTGTATGAGCTCACATGGCACACACAGCATTTATGTGGTAATCAGAGGACAATGCTGTGAGCTGGTTCTCATCTCCCACCTTTATGTAGTTTGAGGTTCACTGCTCAGGACGACAGACTTCTGTGTTAAGTGCTTTACTCAATGAGCCATCTTGGCCCCTTCCTGTTTCTAAATTCTTTAGGCTTGGATCATTGCATGTGTGGAAGTCATATGACACAGCTGTGTGTGTCAGTCCTTCTCTTCCACCTTCAGATAGGGTCATTTGTCATTTGCTGCTGCATATTCCAGCCTAGCTGGCCCCAGAGCATCTGGATACTGGTGCTTTTGTCCTGCATTTTGCCAAGGAGCATTGGGATTACAGATGTGTGCTGCCATGCATCCAGCCTCATGTGGGTGCTGAGGGTCTGCTCTCAGGCACTTTGCTCGGCCCTATGGGTTTTATTTTTAGATGGTCTCATAGAATTCAGAGGCTGGCCTTGACCTCCTGATCCTCCTGTCTCTATCCCCAGGCATGCACTACACTACACCCCGCTTCCTTACTTTTTTTGGAAAGCCAGATTTGCAACAGTCATGGTAGTACCCTCTCTTCTCTCACCTGTTACCTCATCCCTGAGTTTACAGTTAAAGGGTTTTCTTTGTTTTCTCTACTCTCACATTTCCTCAATCACCGTTAACTCTGAATGCAAAGTGAATAAACCCATGGGAACACAAATGGCAGCCTCCCATGCAGAATCATGGACTGTTATGTGGCTCTTTCCACTAGGAATACATCGTGAGCATCCTTCTGCATCAGTAAATACTTCTGTGCACTGTGATTTGGGGGGCACAGGCCCTCTGCATCTTGCCTCAGCCTTCTAAGTGCTTCTCCAAACTTGACCGCATTGTGGCCCCCATACTTGTCACAAGTAGCCTCATCTATGAATACAGTGCGATCAATATCTCAACAGCCTGCTATTGCACTGTTGCCTTTATTTGGGGGTGGGTTAAGACAAAGTCTCATTATGTAGCTGGAAATGACCTTGGGCTTCTGCTCCTCTACCTCCTGAGTGCTAGGGTTACAAGCATGTGTCATCACACCCCATCTCATGCAGTACTGGCATCACACTCAGAGCCTCATGCTTGCTAGATAAGCACTCTGCTAACTACACTACATCCCCTTCCTGTTTAACTTTCATCACACTCACTACAGTGATGAGCACGCATGTGGAAGTCAGAGGAAAGCCTGCAGGCACTGGTACTCTCTAGCCACAAGGTGGGTTTTGGGGGATTAAATGAAGGTCATTGGTCTTGGTGGCAACACCTTTACCTGCTGAGCCACAAATGGGATCCTTGGTTCTTTTTTTTTTTAACTCCCCCTCCCCAATTTGGGGAGGGCCACAGCTTTTTTTTTTAAGGTTTATATAATTTATATAATTTACGCATGTATGCCTACACACGGGAAGAGGGCACTGGATCCCATCACAGATGGTTGTGAGGCGCCATGTGGTGCTGGGAATTGTACTCAGATCCTCTGGAAGAGCAACCAGTGCCATCTCTCCAGCCCCCATTTTTTCTACCACCAGCACTGTACTAAAAAATGCCTATTTGCCTACAGTGTGGCAAAAAAGATGAACATTCTTTCCATTGTTTGCCGATTAGACAGTAACGGCTGGTATGACTCCTGTTTTACTGCCAGTCACTGACAGCCAGGTTAGGATGGGTGTCTGTCCTGTTGCTGAGACTTTACCATTTCCAGTTCCTCTCGGAGTGCACATATAGCTCTCTCCCGGCTGGACACCAGCTCCTCCAAGTACTGGTATCTCAGCTTTTTCCTGGCCCGGCACTCTCTTGCACTCTGTCGGCTCCGCTCAAGTTTTGCTTTCAAGTCAATTTTGGCTGGCTTCCGTCCTCGTTTCCCAGGCTTCTTCACTTTGCCTCCAACCACCTTCAGCAAGAGAGAGGAGACACGGTTTTTCTTTTTAGTTTTCTTTATGACAAAGCAACTGTGGCTACCTATTAGCAAGGAGAACGCTTATAAATGAGGGAGTGAAGTCTACAGAGCCAAACAAGCATAAATCTGTCCCAAAATCTTTCTGGGTCCTCATTTTTTCATACTTTTGATATCATGAGTGTGAGATAATATATAATGCAAGCTTTTATTAGTTCTTCAATTATAATAAAGTTTAATAGTTTAACAATAAATTCTATATGTCACATGAAGTTGGACATTTTTTAAATTTTTATTTTCATGTTTTTAAATTATGTGTGTGTATGTTTATGCATATGAGAGCAATGACCTAAGGGGACCGGAAGAGGGGACTGGATCCCCTACAAGAGAGTTCTGTGACCTTCCAGACACAAAGGCTAGGATCTGAACTCATTACCTATGAAGGAGCAATACCTGCTCTTAACCACTGAGCCATCTCAGTAATGTTATTGCCTCAAGAAAACTACATCAAGATAAGTAAAAACACTCCAAATCTGGGGCTGGTTCAGAGGTTAGGGGCACTCGTTGCTCTTGTGGAGGACTCAGGTTTGATCCCCAGAATCCACGTGGTGGCTCCCAACCATCTGTAAGTCCACTTCCAAGGGATCTGACATCCTCTTGTCACCAAGTATGCATGTGGTACACAGACATACATGCAGCTAAAACACATACACAGAAAGTAACACAATGATTCAAAAGTAAAAATAAGTGTATCTTGGTGTCTTTTAGCGTTTTCTGTGTATGGGTGTTTTGCCTGCACTTAGTGCAGCACATGTGGACCTGGTGTCTATTGAGGTCATGAAAAAGTATTGGATCTCTAGCAGCTGGAGTTACAGGCAGCCATGTGGGTTCTAGGAATCGAACCCAGGTCATCTGTAAGAACAAGTGTTTTTAACCACGGAGCCATCTCTCCGGCCTCAGTTTATCATGACTTCAACATAAAAATGTTAGCAAACAAGGACTTCTTTGCTGGGTATTACATGTGTATTTTCAATATTTCTTTTCTTTGTTTGAGGATGGCTGCTGGGAGTTTATTTGCTTGGTACAAGCACAGCTATGGGGTCAGGAAAGTTCAGTGCTGTGAGAGAAGAAGGGGCTCTCCCTCTCCAGCTCCTGCTGGTGCCTTTGCCTTGTAGCAGCCTGCCTAGTTTACAGGGTGAAGCGGATGATTGGGGTCCTGGCCTAGCACCGCTGAAGCTTTGGTTGGCTGGTGGTTCTGCCAGGTCAGGATAGGACCCTGTTGTTGGCCTGGCCAGATAACTGGGAGCTGCTTCATGGTTTCATGAACCAGGCCATAGGTGATCCCGATTCTGGAGGCCTGGGGTGGGGGTGGGGATTGTACTGAGTTCTCAGGAAACTCTAACACTGGCCTAGGGGAGACCCCAGTGTAGGGGCCAGGTGTCCCCAGGGTACCAAGCATTTCAGCAGGAGCTGTTGCTGGGCGAGGAGCCCAGGCATCACAGATACTGGTCATGGGTAACTAGAAGGGAGCCACTGGAACGGATGGCTGCCATGCTTCGGATATCTCTCAGTGGTGTCACGGGTGGCAAGGACTACAGGGATAATCGTGTGCTACTGGACGACCTGCACACGCATACTTACGCACTTCTTATTTTCAAGATTTTTAACTTTACAGTAGATAAAATATATAAAACCTACATTAAATTGTGTGTAGATGTAAGTTAATACGCATCCTAAGTGACTTAGCTATAAGCTTCCTCTTCAAATTTATTGAGCCGGTAGGAGGAATCAGAAAGACCCTGAAATTTTCAGGAGTCCTTCCCTCCTGCCTTTAGAAGCCTGTAATTATTGCTCCAGACTGTCTCCGGTTTCTGCTTGTCCCACAGACACACACTCCAGATCACCATTTACTTACTGCTTAGGGACAATTGTCAGGAGACTGGCAGAGAAATTTAAACTTCCTCACTATTTAGTTCTGAAACTGAGTCACTCCAGCAATGCCACTCTTTATGTCTTTCTTGGGGGAACCCTTTTGGATAGAGTTTTTACAAGCCTCACTACTTCGGAGCTCTTTAAATGTCTCCACTATTTCACTGTCCATCTCTGTCTGACAAGACTGAATGATACCGCATTTCCCCTGAAAACCACCCACCCTCGGAGAAGAGTTGGCACTGGAGCTCGGTGACAGAGTGGGGGCTCACAGTGGTGGAACCCAACACTGTATAAAGCCCTAGGTTCAATCCTCACCATCACCACATTCTCACCCTCAATGTACTGAATGCGGGCAAGGCAAGTCTAAAGGAGAAGGTGCAAAATCAAACACCAGCAATTAATCACTGCAATAAATGTAAAACCTGCAAGGCAATAAAACTAAAGAGCAATGTTCATTTGTTTATCTGAGACCATTAATAGTATCACACTATAAAAATCAGACCACAAAATATAATGGTTAAATTTTTAAAAAACTAAGGTCAGTGTTTGTGGCACACCCTTTAATCCCAGTCTACTGGAGGAGGAGGTAGGTGGACCTCTGTGAACTTCAGGCCAGCCAGGGCTACATAGAGACCCTGCCTCAAAACAAACAAAAAACCAACCAACCAAAACAAAACACAAACAAAGAAAAAAACCCCAAAGCCTATTTATTGATTTACTTATTGGTTCTGGAGCTCCAACCCAGAACTTTAGCCCTAAAAACCAAGCAAACACCCTTCATATTTTAAAAACAAATAGGCCATTTTCATGCCTTTACCAAATTCCACTTCTATGCTTCTAGCATCTTACAGGATAGCTTTGAAAGGAGACAGTCTACTTAATAGCTGTGGGGAAAACCATGCCATTTCCACTACCATATTAGACGCTAGCTGTGGACTGGAGTGAGGTTCAATGGTTAAGAGCACTGGCTATTCTAGGATCAGGGTTCAATTTCCATCACGCGCACACACACACGCACACACACACACACACACACACACACACGGAGGCTTATAACCATCTGTATCTTCAGTCCCTGGGGATCCAATGCCCTCTTTTGGTGGATGTGGGCACTGCAAACATTTGATGCACATACATACATGCAAAACACAAACATTTAAAATTTTTATAATTTTTATAAAGCCATCTACTCTAATACTTATCTCTGATTAGTTTCAACTTGTCAAAAATTGGTCTTTGAAAGCTTTTCTGGTCTATACCATCATGTTTATCTTCCAGTATGATCAGAAAGCTTTTCAGGGCCAAATGCTTGTTAGTAATTCTAGAATGGCCTCAGTGACCTCAGCATTATGAAATTTTATATGATGTTCATATTTCATAAACTACACAAGTTAAAAACAATATTTTGAAACCACCCTTCATCTGATTTGTGATTGCTACAGTTTTTAGAAAGCAATATAAAGGGTCAAGTTTGACAAAACATAGAGGTACAGAACTTGCCCAACATGCACATGCAACATATAATGCCAGGCATGGTAGAATATGCTGTATTCAGGAGGCTGAGGCAGGAGGATTGCTTTGAGTTCATGATCAACCTCAGCTACAGAATGTGACCCTGTCTCAAAAGGTATAGACAGACAGACAGACACACACACACACACACTCACTCACTCACAGCGAGGAAGGGTATAGCATATGTCTATAATCTCAGCACTCAGGTAACTAAGCAAGAAGCTCAGGAATTTGAGGGCAGCCTGGGCTTCCTTCATAGTGAGACCTTGTCTTCAAATGAATGAACGCCACAGAGTAAAGGCTCTAGTTGCATAAACTTGATGACCTGAGTTCAATTCCTGGATCCCATGGTGGGACAAAAGGAGAAATCAACTCCTATAAAGTTGAATTTCTGACCTTCATATGCATGTCATGTCACAAGCGTGCACTCTTGATCTCTCTTTTCTCATAGAAACACAGAAATTGTTTTTAAAAAGGCAATCTACGTTGCAGTGTAGCTGAGTCAGCAATCATAGTGCTATATCCACTCCTTCCCACACTGCTGCTCTAGTTAATTTAGGGAAGGCTGCCTCCAAGAACAGCCATCTCTGCCAGCAAGAGAACAGCATGTACAGCAGTCTTCTTTGAGTTCTGAATTAAATCTGGCAACTACACATACCATATCTATTTTACTTTCATCACAAAATATGCAATTCATTTTTTTGTATGTATGGGCATTTTGCTTGCATGTATATCTATGCAGCACTTATGTGCCCAATGTCTGTAAAGACTAGAAGAGAGTGTGGGGTCCCTTTGGAATTGGAGTTAGAAGTAGTTGTGGGTGCTGAGAATCACACCTGAGTCCTCTGGAAGAGCAGCCAGTGCTCTTAACTGCTGAGCCGTCCCTCCAGCCCCAGCCCACGCACTCCTTTCTTAAAGTTGAAAGGCACAGCTAATTAACAGGGAGTTCTGTACTTTATGTTATCAATACAATTAGATTTAATGGCATATAACCACTACTTCTTTTGCATAACTGCTTCTGCACTGGGCCAAAGTGTCTGCTTTTTGTAGCAGCCACAGTCTGGTATTTAAGTACACCAGTGTTCTAGAGAGTTGTTAGCATCAGAGGACAGTTTTAAATAATCTCAAGCCTTGTAATATATCCCAGCAGTTTACAAACCAAAGCATTATATAAATATGTTAGATAATCAAGGCACTAACACTGAACTTTATGCATTCCATAAGCCATTCAAGTATTGGTGGGGGGAGGGATGGCCCAGTGGTTAAATATGTGTACTGTTCTTACACAGCACTCACATCAGGCATCTCACAGCTGTAGCGTAGAAAAAAAAAATCAGAAACTAATCTGATATTGGGTTTCAAGCTAAATATCAGAAAAGCAAAGCAGCCAGCCACTAGCTCTCGCCTCTACCTCAGCTCAGACCAAAGGGGCGATCCTCAGACTGCTCCTCAGTTTCACTCAGACTGCTCTGCTCTCCTCAACATGGCTAGAGACTCCTGAGATTGACTCCCGAAGACCCTGCTCCTATCTTTTATACCTCTATGGTACTGGG